AGTTACATATCCCAGATTTCATATCACATCATACCCCAAACCAACAAGAAAATAAATCACAGAACGACCTTAACCCAAAAGAAAGCAGAAAATAAAAAGCACTAGAACACGTTGGAGGTGGGTCCAAAGGAAAAAGAGTTGGCAAGACGTTTCATGTTACCCTCACGAAATTTGAAGTCATCCAATTTGTAAAGCACTCTGTCTGAGGGGTAAGGGAGCGAGTCACTTACAATATCTGGGCCGGACCCCTGTAGACAGCGATGTACTTCCTAGTTGGTGACATGGACAGTCAGTATGCTACCAAGTCCTCTGCTGCTGTTCGCTGCCCTGCAGTGTGTTCCAACTCATAGCGGCCCTCCGGACAACAGAACGAGACAGCGCCCAGCCTTCACCACCTCACAGTTGTTCTTATGTTTCAGCCCATCGTTGCAGCCCCTGTGTCAGTTCATCTTGTTTGGGGTCTTCCTCTTATTCACCGCCCCTCCACGCCAGCAAACGAGATCTCCTTTTCCTGTGACTGATTTCTCCGGATAATATATTCAAAATATGTGCGATGCAGTTTTGGTCTCCTTACTTCTAAGGAACATTCCAGCTGTACATCTTCCATGACAGCTTGGTTTGTTCTTTCGGCAGTCCATGGGACTTTAATATTCTTTGCCAATACCATAGTTCAAATGCATTGATTCTAATTCAGTTTTCCTTAATCAGTGCCTTAACTTTAACATGCATGTGAGGCAATTGACAAATAGCATGGCTTCTGTCAGGCCAACCTGAGTCCTCAAAGTAGCATCCTTGCTTTTCACAACTTAAAGAGGTCTTGTGCAGCAGATGTATCCAGTGCAATAGGTCGTTTGATCTCTGTTGGTTCCATAACCATGATTGTGGATCCAGGCAAGATGAAATCTTTGACAGCGTCAACAATCTTTTCTCCATATATCACCCTGTTATGTACTGGTCCAGTTGTGAGTAGTTTGGTCTTCTTTACATTGAGTTGTGATCCATACTGAAGGTTGCAATCCTTGATCTTCATCAGCAAGTGCTTCCAGTCCTCCTTACTTTCAGCAAGTAAGGTTGTTTCAGCAAGGCTTCCTCCAATTCTGATACCTCACTCTCCTTTATATAATGCAGCTTCCCCGATTATCTGCTTCTTCCTACATCGTTCAATGGTTGTCCATGGATTCTTTCAACATTGCATCTGGGGGCTTGAATTTTTTTCATTAGTTCTTATGGTTTATGGTATGCTGGGTGTGTTCTTTTTCGTTTTTCTAATTCTAGGTGTTTGCACCTTTAATTATCTCACTTTGTTTTCTTGAGCTGCCCCTTGACACTTTCTGTTCAGCTCTTGCCTCCAGCATTTCTTCCATTAGCCTTAGCTACTCTACAATTAAGAGCAAGTTTTAGAGTCACTATGATCTTTTCTTTCTCTCTTTTTAATGGCATTTACTTTCCTCGGGTAAGATGTTCTGAATGCCCTCATGCACCCCATCGGGTCTTCTGGTATTAGTATTCAAGGCAGAAAAATCTGTTCTTGAGATCTTATCAAATTCAGGTGGGATAGACTCAAGGTCATATTTTGGCTCTTGTGGACTTGTTTTCATTTTTTTGAGCTTCAGTCTGAAAGTACAGATGAGGAACTGATGGTCTGTCCTACAGTTGACTTTGGCTTCATTTTAACTGCTGATATTGAGCTTCTCCATCTTCTCTTCCCAAGCTGTAATCAACTGATTTCTGTGTTATTCATCTAGACAAATGCACATATGTAGTTGCCTTTCGTGTGGTTGGAAAACGGTATTTTGGATGAAAAAGTCATTGGTTTTGCCAAATACTGTCATGCAGTCAATCTGCATCTTCATTTCTACCACCAAGGCCATATTTTCCAACTATTGTGTTCCTTCCTCTTTGTTTTCAACTTTGCATTCCAATTGCCAATAATTACCAATGCATCTTGAATGCCTATTTGATCGATTTCGTTCATTAAGACATTAGTAAAATTTTTCAATATCTGCATCACTAGCTTTAATGGTATTGGTACATAAGTTTGAATAATTGTTGCATTCAATGGAGGATTGAAAAAAATCACCAACCAGTTTCTCCCCTAATGACTGCATTAAGTATGTAAAAAGGGAAATACCAGAAGGTGGTTTATTGTTTCATACAGCTAATACTTAAATAAGAATAATAAAAGAAGTACAAAACCAATATCCTTGCTCTCATGGATTTTCTTTTTTT